ATATATATATATATATATATATATATATATATATATATATTAGTTAAAGCTACCATTTTCGATTTATTAAAAGATAAATAGTGACTATTTAATCCTAATTAAATAGGAATAAGAAGGATAAGCAAATATGAAGACTGAGAATAAAACTTTGAAGAAAATGTGTTACCTTTGGATACCTCTTTCGACAATTACCATTCACGCCACAATATAACTTGGCATCTCTGAATGAGTACCGCTTACCCAACAAATTTTTTCCGCAACCATTACAGCAAAAGCAACTTTGATCAGCGTGCCAATGTGTGTCTCCCTGAAATCTTGTACAAATCATTACTTTTTACTCAATAAATACTGATTTTAGCTCCCCCACTGATGTATTAAACTATAGCTAGTGCAGACTGCATTTGAACTCAGGCTACAAATTTTTCACAAACGTTTACACAGAATTTAAAGGTTGAAATCTATTTTGTACCTGTATTCAATTTGATTTGGAAGTGATTTTTTGTATCCATATAATGCCTGCGAAACTAGCTTTCAAAAAATTATGAAAATGCAGCGTGATTCCATCATAATGTTGTTGCGCGGCTAATAAACAAAAAAGTGTGCATTCAAAGAAGATGAGGTTCGCAACAAATACCTGCGTAATATGAGGCTTATCCACAATAATTTCCTTGTCACATGTATTACAAACTAGTGAACAATTTTGTAGATAACAAGGAATGCATGTTATGCGATCACTTCTTCCAATATACCTGCAAACATATACAAAATTTTAATAGGTCACTTAAAAGCTTGTACTCATGAAATCTTAAACATTAATTAATCTAATCACCTTTGTCCGCCAAGTTGAACACCACAGTCTGAACATAAGAAATGTGCCATATGCCATGTTCTTCCTTCCGCTTCTGTACATTCTGTACTGAAGATGAGCTGAAATTTCATGAAAAAAAAATGATAACTTCTTCAAATCTTTTCTCTGATGAATTTATTTAATACTAAAATAAAAAGAACTCTGCTTTAACTAGAGCAGATATTGCTGACATTGATATGCATTATAGTAACAAGAATCAACTGAAATGGATAGCATCTTCTGCTCTGAGTATGGCTTGCATTAATTTGAATTAAATTAAGGCCAAATTTATCTTGGATAAAAGTGGAAGGTCAGTTTTTTAACTGAACAGTACAGGACATGTCTATTTTATCAGTTCACTTTTTGCTTAATTTTGGAAAATGAAGCAAATAGAAATCGCAAATCAAAAACAATAGTAGGAATGAGTTAGAATTTACACTTTTCACTGCTAAAATACAGTCTCGTAATTAATTCTGGATAAATTAATGAGTATCTTGCAAAACTCATGCAGAACGTATATGCCATTTACTACGAAGAAGAAAATGAGAAAGAATGATACAGCAAATGCGAGTATAATAAATAAAGAATTAAACTGAGGGGAACAATAGTAGAGAATGTACAGAATTTGAACTAAAAATAGATAAATATGTGAAATACTCAAGCAAAGGTCAACTGAACAATAAGTTAAGAACTTTTATTGAATGGTATCAGCACCAAAGACGAGAGTTAATTAATGCGGTTCCTCTTAGAGAATAGTTAACTCTTTTATCGCCAACTATGCTAGCATGAGAGTTTTCTTAGAATAAAACAGAATTGCAGTCAACCTCAAGTTCTATAGCTGTATAATACTTACACATATTCTGAAGGATTAATTTACCTCATAATACTGTTAAAAAATTAGCAAAAAATCACGAATGGTGAACCCTTAAATTTAAAAGCTTACCTCGTCACACCTGGCACATCTGGGTTTGATTTGTTCAGCGTGATGTCGACCACAGAATACATCACCACCATATTTAAAATATATCAAGTCGACGAGCAGATTTGAACATTCAGTGCATACAAAACATTTAGGATGCCAATGCACATCATGCCCAAATCTTTCTGCTGTTATTACCATGTTCCCTTCACACAATGATCCTTTGCACTACAATTCATTTGATCATCAGGAAAATTATAGGTATAAAAACTTAATTCTCAACTTAAAAAATTGTATACCTTCAGGACTTTGCATTGAAAAAGAAATTACTATATTTAATAAAGATCAATCAAATCATAGAAATTACAGACTACAAGCAAATAAATAAATCATATTCCACGGATAATAGATAAAATCAAAAGCGTTTGTCTGATAGAAAATAATCCTAAGACCTGATGACAATGCCGTCGTTTGCTGTCATATGGCAACTGTTCGATAGTACCACGTCCAAGGCACTCACGTTTTCGACCTAGTTCAAACTGTACTAATTCTCGTCTTTCCCTGGCATCTAATTTACCGCAATACCGTGCATCAGAATCTTGCGGTGGTAACTGATAATGCAATTGATGTGTCCGCCACTCTTCACCAATCGAATTCACATATGGTATTTTATCTTCTGGCAAACACGCAAAATACATATGAATCTGAAATCATTTCGTTTCAACGCAAAATAATATAAGGAAACAAAATGTTTACATATTTATGGACAGGTGAAAAAGTTTTTGCATCATTCGAGAGCTGTATGCGAAATATTTGCAGATTTTTTCCTTCATAATACTTACCGTATTTGTTAAGGATAAGAGAGAAGGAAAAATTAGATATAGAAATATCTGAAGGAAAAAAACTTTCAAGAATAAGTATTGAAAAATAGAATTACCACCTGAACAATTAAACGATATTTGCAAAGAGGTGAGCAATAAAAACCTGTTTCAGTACTTCTGATTTACAAAATAAAATGCATCATAGAAAGATGTAGTAAAATCAGACAAAAAAAACAGTATTATACAACGAATATATGAATTTATTGCTTGCTAAGATATGATTCAATAGGGAAAAAATGAAGGACCATGTCAGGTTTAATGCCACTTGGAACCCAAGAATATTCTTCAAGCACGCATCCGCTATCATCATCACTGGTACTGTGCCGATGAATATCTGCTGCAATACGTATTCTAGATGCTGGTGATAAACATCCTTCACTCATTTCACACCTGGAACTGTTTCTATCCATATCTGCAATTTCGATACTCTATTCAAGTCATACCGAAAATGTTCATGAACTATATGAACAAGAGTATAGTAATATTGACTTTTATAAATAATTATGGTTATAAAATTACCAGCAATGTATCACTTATCAATTACATAACAAATATTATTGAAACTGTTAGTGGCACGGAATATTAAAAAAACAAAGCATTAAAATCAAGAACAAAATGTGAGCTAATGCATTTTATCCAAATTTACTCATTATGCGACAGAAGCAAAACTTTGTTTGTTTACTTTATTTACATAATAGCACATGCTTATGAATGGGATATGATCTAGCATTAGTATAGTGTTTGTTACAAATTAATACCAATAGTAACAAATGCAGTCAAAACTCTTCAAAAAAAATTATTGACTTAGCGATTAATGTTGAACAAACTTGTGAATAAATTGCATACAGTTCATTAGATACTCTAGTAACATCTAAATCTATTCAGAGAGGGGAAAAGCGAGGATAGGAATTTAGGGATAGGACGGAACCAAACTAATCAAAAAAGTCTTTTACTTCTGCTTCCTGGATTTTGATACTCCGTTACTTAGCACTTCAGATCGTCGCATATTTCCGAATTAGATAATTAGTATATATTGCAACAATAAACAAATATCACTTTTCATTCCTAATAATTCATAATTTTTAGTATTTTGCTTTGATAAATCATCAAAATGGAAGAGAAGCAAACAACTAGAAAGAAACAATCTAATTAATGAAGGATAAAAATAACATTCTTATCAAATTAATAAACAACAAAAATGATGAAGATAGTGCTATTCTCCAGACTTATCCTTCCTATTAAACATGATATGTTTAACTGATGAAAATCTAACAATAAATATTGGATGTAAAAAGTCAATTTCGATAACAATAAAAAGACAAAAGATATGATAATTAAAAAACTTTACTATACACATAAATGAACAAGTATATCAAACACATGAAATGATGCAATCTGTGTCTTAAGAAGTGAATAATGAAAACAACAAATAAGGTGGAACGTTCAGTAATTTACAGATTTCTGCTGGTAACAAATGAAGGACAAAAAATGCATAAATGCTGGGAATTTGAATCTAGACTCCTGTTCCTATGAGTATCATTAACTGTACTACAATATATCATATAACAGTTGATTCTGTTACATTATGCATAGCATAAATAATATTTTATGATAAATGTGTGTATAAATACTGCTAGCACATGATGGAATACACTTAGAGTGGATACGAAGTATGATTTACATCTTTTTATTTTCACATTAATTCTATGACCTCTCACTTGATATATGTAAAAATAAAAGCTCACCCACAATCAAAGTTCAATTCAGATATGCTTCATTACTATTTATGAGGTCCTAATAATGTTTGCACAGATTCTGTCCACAAATTTCAAATAATGTTTACAGAGGAAAGATCAATAAATGCAAAAAAACGTCTCTTATTATACACGCAACCAAATAAAAAAAGGCTACGTTTGAAAATGAAAAAGATCTTCAAAAAGCAGGCAACTTATATTTTAAATTTATTTTGCTTTAAGAGAAATACGTAAGTTACAGAAAATTTGACTAGATAATTTTTAAACTATTACCAGTTACTGTGGGGCTTATAAATACCAACACGTAAATTTGAACAAGTAAACTAACAGTTGTAGCAAAAGTGAAGTTATTTAAAAAAAATGTAGCATGATGAAACAAAAAAATCCACAAATAAACACCTTAAATAGCTCATTTCTACATGACTTAGTTGCGCTGCATGGACAAACAGTTGAAAATACAAGCCCCACAGTAACTGACTATGAATTGATAACAAAAAAGATTAATGGTATTGTTGAGATTTGATAACATTTTATGACACAGAAAATGGAAGATGTAATGTTGATTCAATCTTAACATATATGGACAAGATGAAGAAGCTTAAACCAGAAATGAAAAATCAGAGTAACAGCCTCTCCTGGGCTTATCTTCCTATTTCTTTTTCTGAAAATGATAAATAGCTATTTTGTGGCATCACATCCCTACACATATATTGCCTAAACAGTATTAAATGAATTCTTTCCAATTCTGCCGCCATTGCAATGTGTCTTAAGAACAGGGTGTAAATATCCACATATTGTGAATATAACATGTGTATGCATGACATGAAAAATGTTATAGATGTCTGTCCGCATCAGCTTCTATAATTTATAGCAGCATCAATATTCAGAATCAATATACGAAAAGCCTTTTAGAACTAATATATAACGTAGATACCGATCACTGATGTATCAACTAAATTATATACTACACTGTTTAAAAACTTGATGCTTTGCTGAATTAATTATTACACTAAAAGATTTTTGGTATCTTAAAAATAAAATATGCAATATGTATTAAGTATGAATAAATACATGACGAAAACCTTAAACATAACAAATACTTCAGAAAAAAATGAGATTGATGATGAAGGAAATAAATATGTTGGTACATTTTAAAGTATGAGAAGAGTTGATGTGATTAAGTACACATTAATAAGCTGTTACATTAAGAAGTACAATTTGCACGAATATGAAGTGACAAAAAAGGAATGTGGTACGATGCTGAAGAAATACTTATGTGAAAAAATATGGCCTTGTTGAAGGGAACCTCAAAATGAAGCCACTCAAAGCCCATGACAGAAATAGCTCTGCATTTGAATATCAGTTGTTAGTTAATTTGTACTCAAATATATAATTCACAATTGAGGATTGTCAGATCCAGCAATCAACAATAATAACTGCCACATCTCCCAACAATAATGACAGGTTGAGATGTAGACATCAGAACACTGGTTTTAGTATGCAAATTTTGAACTGCATTTACTAATTTCATGAAGAGTTAATTATTATAATTGCTGCAATATAACTAGTCACCATCAAATTTAACTCAACATCTTTTTTGTTACTTTATTCATCTCAAATTTAAAATGTCTAAAAAACAGCTGTGATTCCTTTCCAACACTACATATAATAACCGTTGGCTAGTTTTGCAGTTTGATAAATGTTTAGTCAAAAATTATCTAATCATTTCTTAACGACCACTTCTGAACGGGTTATTCAGATAAAATCCCATTTTCACTGTGACTATGTGAAATTACCATAATTTACATTCATTCATTTATTGTTGCAGCAGAGAATTTGAACCCCAAATAAGTAGTATGTCTGTAATGCATCCTTTTCCAACCAATAAAACTGGGATTTCTGCTACAGCAGTGTATAATAGAAGGAAATAATACTATTTTGACTTACTGTCAATTATCAATTCTAAAGTTTTAAATGTAAAATTAACTGACTTGAAGATAAGAAAAGCTGACACTACTATCATTTTGTAAAAAATGGAGGTTAGTATGCATTGAGAAGGAGAGGAATTCTGCTTCTTTCAACTGTCACAGAGCAATAAATAAATTGCTTTTGTTGAAAATATTCTATTCATTTAAAATATAATTTTATTCATTGAGAAAAATGGTCTTTTTGTTTCCCACTTTATATTTTTATCTTTTACAAGTGTGGCCATAGCAAAACGTAATAGTTAATTGCTGAGCGCACTACTGCTGGTATTCCTCCAAGATGTGACTCTCAAGAAAAATGAACGTATCACAAACAACAACACATGTATCGATCAAAATAAGATGAAGATGAGAAATGTCATGAAAATAGGTCGTGTTTTGTGGCTTGCCAAGAAAACAAAAGAAACAGGAATCTGATCACGCAACATCAATCATAAACGTTCTTGACTTTTCCATTCTGCTCGATACTCCCGAAACAGCAATACATATAAAGTTAGAAGGATAAACTATGGCAAATTAATAGAATTTTACAGCTGTGCACAAATAGAAAACGATCTAATGGGATAGCGAAGTGATCGTTCATCCCAGTGCAACCCATATGAATCGAATTTGCATACAGCAAAATAACTGCTCAGTAAGCAGCAACGTACAGACCAAAATAGGAAACAAAATACGAAGCTAATGATATATGAGTTACAACTTATATCTCAGGACAGTTTCATTTATCAGCCAGTGATGGCGGCAATCATTTATGCAGCAAGGATAGTGTTTTTTATAATTTAAATATTTCGCGTTTCGAATATGGATACCAGATGGTACCAATAAAGAGAGATACAGAAAATATACAGTGAGTATTTTACTTGCTAGCATTACAATCTATCTAATAATGAGGAAAACGAAGGTTTGAAAAACAGATCAATTACTTGTGTACACTTACAATTTGAAATGAATTGTGAAAATCCAAACTGAGAAATTTAAAGAGAGTCATAAACGTCGTGAAGATATGAAAAGGCAGGAAAGTAATAAATCGCTAAATTCTCTCGAGCACTAAATCCCTAATGCAAAGGCAGTGGTAAATCAAAATCGTATCACTGAAATGATCAATAAGAAGGAGATCGCAGATTTTTTTATTTCTAATCTTACAATATGATTTTTTCCATTTCTCTATCATGATTACAAAAACTGTAAAATATGCAAGTATGTAATAGATTCAACCCAGAGGACCACCCATAACAAAACTACAGATCGTGCTATAAGAATAGAAAAATGTGCTGTTAAAAAATGTTGTCGGAAGATTTATGAAGGTTGTTTGTTATACGATAGATTTTAATCAGACAGACGAACATTAAATATATATATCAAAGAAATCAGAAATCTGTTGCATATGCATATTTTCTGTAGTTTAGATGAGAAATAACAGAAAAATAAGGCAGAAAAAGAATTCATCAAGGTCAGTGGAATAACTCTCATAGATAGAATTCTATTATAGCAGTAAATCTCAGAATTCGTGGAGCCAGAAGTAAATTATAATAATCATAATTTGTTTTTACTCTCATTGTATCAGTCATTACGAGCTTGACACACATTAATTGAATCAAATGTTCATCTCTTTATAATATGCCCACTTTATTTGCATTGTTAAAAGCTAATAAGTATATTCGTTAGAACAAT